ACCAGCTGAAAAATAGGGGGAAAAAAGTAATGTTTTTATTTTAAGAAGTTGACTCCAAGGCAAAGAGCAGCCACACTGCAGACCTTTAGCCATCTCAGGCAAAGCTGAATGCATTTTGGGCTGGTTTTCCTCAGAGCTGGGCAACAGGAAGGCAATTAGAATATGTGTATTTAATAAATAGAACACCTATCACTTAAAAAGCCCCTACACTTGTCAGCTGGCCCCTTCCTTCCCTTGCCAATACACTCTGCCTGTTCACACCACATGGGCTGACACCACCCAGAAGTGTCTTGTAAAGACTCCATATTTTTGATGTTATAATTACAGCTGCTCACACCTGTTCTGGCAGAACCTTGTTGGAATCCCAAAGCTTTGCTGAGATGCTGCTATTTCTACCGAGCCATATTGAAATTTTGGCTTGGATTGATTCAGACCTTGCCAATTTTCCTGCCTGCTGGTTGCAAGAAGTATAATACCCAAAGCCTCCTTAAAATTCACAGTTCTTCCTCAGTTTTCTGATCAGCTGGATCAAATTTGGCCAACTAGCCTTGAACCAGATGTTTCCAAGCTGACTTATCCCACAGAAAATACTACAAGGATGGACACTTAGAAACCTTGGAGCTTGAAGATCACTGAAGTTGGTGAAGGGTCTCAAGCACAAGTCTTACTAGGAGCAGCTGAGGGAGCTGGGGTTGTTTAGTCTGGAGAAAAGGAAGCTGAGGGGAGACCTTCTCACTCTCTACAACTGCCTGAAAGGAGGTTGTAGTGATGGGGGCATCAGTCTCTTCTCCCAAGTAACAAGTGATAGAACAAGAGGAAAATAGCTCAAGCTGTGCCAGGGGAGGTTTAATTGGGTATTAGGAGAAATGTCTCCACTGAAAGGGTTGTCATAATATCAACAGTCTTTTTCAAAGCAATTCTATGATTCTCTGTCTCTCAAATGGCTGAACACAAAGGTCTCGGATTTGTGCATGGGAAAAATCACCGTGTTGCCCTGTTTTCTCTTCCTTACTCTTCCCTCCTGGTCAATGCCAAAAACTGAAAACTGGCTAGAATGATATCTGGTCTGACCTCACAGGACACCTCATCCTGTGACAGATTTTTGTCATGCTTTTAGTTTTGTCTGCCCAGTATTTGTTGTGCCTTAGTGGTTTGGCAGGGCTGGAAGTCAAGGTTTGCCACATCACCTCCCTGCAGAGTGACTTCTGCAATGCATCAGCATCCTGGATCCATGCTGTGGTCAGAGAGGATCCTTCATTGCCTGGGAAGGGCATGTAGGCCTGATCCAGGGCTGCTCAGAAGGCTCATGGCACAGCCAGGCAATGGAGCTGAAAACTAAATGGATGTGAAATACAAATGTGTCAGCCCACAAGCTCTGATTCAGGTCAAATAATTCAGCCCTGTCACTTTAACTGCAAAACGAGACAGAAGAAAACTGCAACTGCCCTTGGAAAATTTTGCAGCAATTACAGTTTCCTCCAAGGAGACATTTTAATGAAAAATGTCCTGAAAATATGAATGGAAAACACTTCAGAGCACGAGAATCATTAAATTAGGATCACACTCCTTATTGACAATCCTTTTCTCCTTCCTGCCAATGAAAGAGGTTTTAAAGTCAGTATTAAGCACATTAAAACAACAGAGCATGTGCAAATGGCTCAACACCAGGACTTTGAAAAGATGTAAAGCAGAAAAGAAATGCTCATCTAACATTTCCCTTTTAAACTGCAATAAGGGTTACTTCACTTTTGGGTTGAGATAGTCTTCTGTGCTGCTATTTTGTGCCACAAGCTCAAATGCTCAAGGACTTAATTTGCGTGTAGGTAAAAGGTGTGAATAAAACCTTGGTCAATGAAGTAAAGAAATAGTTTGAAACACAAGTGACTTTCTCAAAGGGAAAACCTGTTTTTATCACAGAAGATCAGTGAAATGTAAATAAAAGAAGAATAAAGCAGAAGTGCTGGGATGCAGCCACTGTTTTGGCATTACTAATTTTGGGATTTCAGACAACTGTAAACATGTTTTTCCTCTTCTTTAGCACAACAGCATCCCTTTAAATCTAATACAACAGAATAGCTCTCTGAGCTTGTTGTTAAGATTCAAACCATATAATTATGTCAGCTCAATATCTGGATGCAAAGATTGCTGCAGTAAAATAAAACAGTCAAGTTCAAAACCAGATGGGGAAAAAAACACTTTGTGTATTTGGATTGATTCTCATGTAGCAAAATATTAAAAGTATTCTGAGTTTTGAGAGCACTTTTCATTCAGCCTCCACAGGAATAAAAAGAAGCATTAGGTGTCTGGTGCCTACACAAACCTGTCTGAAGGGCTGTCAAGCTTTATATATTTCAGCACTCCCTGATTACCTGGGTTGAGGCCAGGGAGAAACTCAGTCCCAGAGGTCAGAGAACTGTCAACAGATTATATGATTTTTTCCCCACCCCCTCTGGAGATGTGGGAACTACTGAGGTTCTTGCTTTAGTTCTGGAATATGCCTGTTTTTACTGTCCTTTGCAGAGACACTTAGTGCCTGAAGCAGCTCAGAAACCTCTCAAGTCAAAACATTAGAGATGCAGAACAGCATTGACCCAAGCACTTCAGTTTGAAACTACTTGTCTATCCAGTGAAACCTTAAAAAAACCCCCCACATTTCAATTTTTCAATTGAAAAGTCAGGTTTTCTAATATTAAACTCCAGAGAGGGACTTCACAGCACTGTTCTGGCTTCTGAAATGATTGCTCTAAAAGATATTCTGACTGTTTTTTGAGCCATGAAAGACAGTCCATGGCTTGTCACAGCTCTCCTGCTCTGAATGACTTTCACACGTTGAGTGATTGCTGCTTGGCTTGCAAAGGTCAGAGGAGAAAAACACATAAGCTAGAAATCAATCACAGCCCAGATGGGCTTTAGCCTGGGCAGCCACATTCCAGCTTCTGCATCTGTGCTCTTGAGGACAAAATGGAGAGAGATCAAATAACTTTGATGTGGCATTGCTGACTTGGGGTGAGATGGATGGAGGTGTTGCTACATGTCAAGAGGGCACTACTGTGATGCTGTCTGTAAGACAGTGGTAGGAAAAGATTACTTGGGTTTTTTGAGCCTGGCAGCCATTAATTATTGCAGTACTCATTGCTTTTCCACCCTGCAGGTTTCCCTTGCCTCAGCCACAGTCAGAAGCCCAGCCCTGCCCTAAGTGGTCAGCAAATTCCATCTGGCTACTGGCATGACTCCCTGTGGTCTCTCATCTCTTTGTGGAGATTTCATGAGAGAAGTAGATGCATGGCCTGAAACCAGACCTGCAAGATACCACTGGTGTATCCATCCCAAACTTGCCTTCCTGTCTCCAGACCAGAGTTGGATCAGGCTGGACCACAGAAAAGACTGTGGGTGGATTTACATTAGATATTAGGAAGAAATTCTTCACTGTGAGGTTGGTGAGACACAGGCATGAGTAGCCCAGAGAAGCTGTGGATCCCTCATCCCTGGAGGTGTTTAAGGCCAGGTTGGACGAGACCTGGAGAAACCTGGTCTAGTGGGAGGTGTCCCTGCCCATGGCAGGAGGGTTGGAACTAGATGATCCCTTCCAACCCAAACCATTCAATGGTTATGTGATTCTAAGACAGTTTCTCTGCTGCCTTCAAGTCAACCACTGGTGTTGGTCAACATCCTCTTGGCCACCAGGAGTTACAGGCAGCACAAGCAGCTCTCCCTGGAGTATAACCTCCCTTGTAGGGCTGAGACTCTTGTAAATATTTTGTCTTTTGAATTAAGTCTTTATTTTCTTTGCTTTTGGAGTTGGGTCATTTATACTTTCCTCTGAAATCTAGCCCTAAAAATAAAAGGGAATTAATTCCTTCCCTCTCCAGGCAAGGAACCATTCTCAGGACATGCTGTCATCACTGACAGTCCCAAAGGGGTTAAACATGAATGCCTGGGCTTAGTGTCACTTCGCCTGTGGCAGTTCCCAGGCTTTCCCTGTTTCAAATTTAATCTGTCTTTAAACAGGTGCTGCATCCCATGGGTGATGGGGATATATTGCAGAGGTTATACCTGTTTCTCCTGACCCTACAGAAGACTCTTGCTGAGCAGGTCCTAACCTCATACCAAGCATTATTTTGTACCACTAAAACCTAGGATTGAGGGGAGTGGGAGCATCCTAATAAAAACCCAAACAAAGCAGCCTTGAAAGACTGAAGTTCCTCTGAATTTGAGATTTGGGATCGCAAACATCTCTCAGGAGTGGTTTGGGTAGGTTGGACAGACCAGACAATAACTTAAATTTCCTTTTGTGTTAAGATGATTGGTTGAAGCTATATAAAAGGCTCTGGGAAGCTCATCAGTTGGTGGTTTGTTGCTATGTAGGGCCATGAATATACATATATATTACTTAAATGTCACTTCCATTTTGGTTTGGAGTCGTAAGAGATATTTCAAGTGAAGATGCTTTGTGCCTGCTCCTCTGAATGTCAGCCCTCACCACCAGTGGTCCTGCATGTATTAGGAAGAGTCTGATGCAATATAACAGTAACTGAAGGAAGAGAAGATCCCTAAAGTGAATGACAGCATGTTTATTCTCCATAACCAGAGTTTCTGGAGTTAGCTCTGATCCAAGCTAGTCACTGCAGCATAAAGGTATTGCTTCATGGTCTAACAGGTTCACCAGTGTGGGCACATCTGGACTCTGGATGTAGATGTGGCCTTTGCCTACATCTTTACCAAAGATTTTTATAGTGGGTCTCTGCACAGCCACCTCAATCAGTCTTGGTGCCACCATCCTCAAATGCACACACACATCCCTCCACTGTTTAATGTGGGGAAGGTAGATGAAATGTCCGGAGCTAATTCCCAAGTGGTTAACCTGAAGATTCCCTCCCTTAGCACCTCCTCATGTCCAAGCTATTCCCTTACATCTAGCAAACTTAAGCACTTCACCAAGTATCTGTATTTCAACAAAGCATTCTCAGTCTGTGGAGGAAGGTGACAGATCCTTGTCTTACCTTGGTCTGGAACGTACAGAAGACATGAGTCAGGAACGGGTGCTCCCAAGCTAAGGAGAGGACTCTCTTTTCAACCATTGTGCATTCAACATCATCATCCATCAGCACCACATCCTTCTTCAGGGCTTTCACAGCAAAATACTGGTCTGTGCTCTTCAGCTCAGCAAGGAACACCTAGGGTGGAATGAGCTACTCAGAAAATAATACATAAAAGAGCAGTGGTCTTCTCTCAGAATTGGCAAGATGGCATTTAAGGATGGAAGCTGAGCTATGGGAAATTCACTAGGGTAGATCTTATAAAACCTGATGTTTAAGACCCAGTTCTGCCATTAAGACTCTGTAGACTTTGAGCTTGTTCCCCACATCCAGAATAGTTGTATGAAGCTGAACCCCTGGGGAAGGATGAGAACGTCTTGGCCATTACAAGAGCAAGAGCTACATGCCTGTGTGGTCAAGACATGTCAGGGAGCCAAACACTTCTGATAACAGAAACCACCTTCATGCAAATGCTCATGAGACACATTTCCTGTTTTCTGACTTTAAATAACAAAACATAGAATATTGCTTTGTCAACACGTGAAATGCAAATGCCCTGCACCAGATCCTCAGCAGGTGTAAACTGATGTCTACCAGTAATAAGACTGATATATATAGAGGGTGACATTCTCCCCTTCCTCCCAGTTAGCAGGAGGCCTGAGCAGAGAGGCTGGGTCTTCTGTGCTTCCACAGGACTTCTTCTCTGGGAAGAGCAAAACACATCCCAGAGGAATCAGGATCTCTGTCTATTTTGATGGGCAGGAAAACTGAGACCCAGAGCAGCAGAGAAGGGTTTTCTAGAGACCACAAAGCAAAGAAGTCCCAGCTGGAAGGCCGTGCCAGTCCTGATCTCTACACTAACAACCTGTCATCACAGTTTCCCATAGCCTGAATAAATATGTAAGATTCATCAAAGAGCTCTTTGAAGTTCTCTACCAGACACCATTTACTGAGTAAGCTCAGACATGTTTTAGCCCTGACAAAAGTTTTATTTACCCTTTTGGCTACTGCTGCATTTCACTTTGTAGCACTAGACAGAGAGTAGAGCCTAGAGCCTCCCTCTGTCTCTGCAGTGAATGACCAGAAATGCTAACACTGCTGATGCTGCAGGCACCCTTTTTACCCTACTTTTTGTGCAGGGCACTGCTCTCCTGGGGGAACTGGGGAATGCAGAATATTTGTGACCTTTGTTGTGACTTCCAAGGTGCAGGTAGGCAATGCCAGACCTCATGCAGAGGGGGATTCCTCATGGGTCTGGCCCTCAACCTCCCTGGTCCATGCAGAGCTGGAGAGACCCCTGAGGCACTGAGATGTGCACACCCTATCCCTGCTATGAGGAAGTGAATCTCACTCCAAGCAAATGAGGGCACCAGGAGCAACACCTACACAGGAAACTTGTGGGTGACACTTGCTGCAGAGGGGCATGAAATAGCCCAACCTCTCCACACCCACATGGTGCACTGCAGAGATCTGCAGATGTTTGCAAGCTTGGAGAGTCCATGTTAACCCAGGGGGCTGAGCAAAGTGTAGAGTTTGCTTCCATAGAGGGATTAAAGACTTGACCAGACAAGACCCTAAGCAATCTCATCTGTTTTGAGCAGCAGGGTGGATTAGATGATGTAAAGAGGTCCCTTCCTTCCAATGTAAATGTTTCTATGATACCTATACCCTTGAGTCTGGTAGTGGAGTCTGGGGTATTCTGGCTTAGCTCTAGCTCATATATCTCAGCTCTGCTTCCCAGGCAAAATGTAGACATGCCAAGTGTTTTCATGTACGGAAAGACAAGCAAGTGTTTCACCAGTTTAAGAATTGGCTGCAGCAATTCCTCCAGCTCACTTAGCAGGCAAAAAGCAGCTCTTCTTTAAGGCACAGTTTCCATCTTGGAAAGGTTTGGGATCTGAGGAATGTGACACATAATGGTAGTCATTCTCCTTACTGGCTGTGAAAACACAACTGTGAGCTCCTCTGAAATTGCTTCATGCAACTGTTCTTTGGCACTGAGTAGCAAGAATCCCTTTCCAGGGGACATTGCAAGAAGGATGAATGATCCACAATTCGTCAAGTTTCATGAACCCACTGAAAACAGGTGGTTCTTGTTTCAAAAGCACAAATTCTTGGCTGCTGCCAAGTTTGCTTTACACTCCAGCACAGATTGGAGCTGGGAAAGAGCAGTTAGCATTCCCAGCTGGGGGCCTAATCCTCTGGAGAGGAGAGGTGATCCACACTCAAATTCTCAGCTAGTGCTTCCACTCTGAGCTGGCTCAGCTGAGCTGGCAGGAATAGCTGCATGAAGAGGGACAACACAGAGACCTGTCCCAGCAGCTCTCTGTGGATGCCCAGGCCCTGCCAACCCCCACAGAAGGGGAAGGTGCACCTTTACCCAGGTATTTTCCTCTCCTGTTATGGATATTCATGACATAGACATGGTAGAGCAGGGGTTCTTGGAAGGCTTGGAAACATTCTTTCCTAAGTGGCCTTCAAACCACATGCTATTTTGTGCCATGACAAGCACCATGCAGACCTGTGCAGTGGTGTCTCAGTTTCTTGATGCTTACCTTGCCAAAACTGCCCTTCCCCAGCATCTTGTGCAGGACAAAATCTTCAATGGTTAGTTTTAGTTGCACTTCGTGCACTTGCTGCTCCTGGGGCTGCTCTCCTCCCGAGTCTGTCTCTATTAGAGACTCTCCCTTGACCGTGCCCTCCACTGGCGTCTCCCAAGAGATGCCCTGTGGCTCTGCAACAGACATCAAAGCATTCAAAGAAACCCCTGGACACGGGCAGAAAATCCCCAGAATACTTACAGGTATTGTATTTAGAATTTCTAAAGGGTATTTCAAATAGATGGAAACATGGTGGCCAAAGAATCTACAAAGTAGATTGGTTCTGCTCCCACATTACTTTCTCTCTTGAGGACGTTTTACTCTAGTGTAAGCCCACCTCCTTCAGTGGTAATTCTCCCACTTTACAAGCTCCTTCATGTGTATTTCTGTTTTATGGCACCAAAACATGACCAAATCCTTTCTTTCTGGCTGCCCGTGTTCTTCAGTTTTTCTTGCTGGTTGCTGCTATGATGTGGTCTCATTTTTCCCAAGGCCTTTCCAAGACTCTTAGCAAAGCTACCATGTGAAACAGATGGGACAGCATTTTCATATTGGGTCCCTACTCTGAATCTGAAGCTCTGATCAAGTTCTCCTGCTGTCCTAGAGAGGAACTACTCAGAGTTTCTTCTCTTGGGTGTACAAGGACTTCTAAGAGATCCTGTCCCTTTCTGGATTTGCCCTGTCGCCTCAAGTGCACATTTGCTGTACAGTCCTAAATTGCTGAACAGCAAGAGCACTGCTCAGCAGACAAATAGACCCACATGCAAACCAGATGTGAAACCATTTGGGGTTACACTGATTTACATCACCAGAACCCATTCTGCTTGTAGAAAAGAAGGAAAATGAGCACAGATGGGGACATTATTTATTTCCCCTTGGGGGCCAAAGGGCACTGTCCTCTTAGCTTAGATGGTACCAAAATCAACCTCTGAGACTTGATAGCCTGGTGCTGCACAATACCAAACCCAGAGCACTGGTAAAATGTGGCTGTGTCAAGCTTTAACCACTGCCTTTTGACATCTTGCTCTAGTTTCAGTTTCCAGGATTTTATCTCTACACGGGGCAGCACAAACTTTCATTGAGAAAGCAGGTGATGGTGGGGCCTGGGCTTTTAGCTTGATCCTTGGTTAGGGTTGGAAAACTGTCCCACTCCTCACTAGCTTTAAGTATCCATTCACCTGTACTCTACTTTTTTTTCCCCTCCCCTTTCTGGTAGATGCATCTTACTGTGGGAAGCAGATAAACACTGTATCAGTGCCATCTTAGGTTTGCTGCAGTTACAGCACAGTTCTTGGAGGGGCACCATGAGCCACGAAGCTGGAGAGGTCTTGAAATGACCTTTCATATGGGTCATGTGAGTCTAATGAAAAATAATGACATTTTTGCTCCTTATATTGAGTTCTCTGACCCAAGCAAAAAGCAGACAAAAAAGGATCTCCCCAGGTTATTGTAAATTTCATTTCAGTCCCCTGAGCCCCTGGTAGCTTTCTACAAGGTCTTGTAGCACAGAGGGCTGTGACATGCAGCTCCTGGGTGAATGAAATGGGGATCTTCCAATGGTTTCCAAAGTTACTGGTTGTCAAGGCCTAGGTAAAAATCTGAAATCAGGAAAAGAACGGGTCATGGTGATCAGGAGAACTCCCACCCTCCTGTTTGGAGATTGGGTTCTCTTTCAAGTTCCTAGATATTACAGTCTGCAAGTCCCAGGAGGAGAAAAAACACATCCTTGTCAGTTGTGCTGAAGTATCAAGTCAGAAAGAGTTGAGGGGTTAACTGAATGAGTGGGGGTTGGCGTCTCATGACACCCAATGTTGGGATGCCATGGGGGAGTTGCAGGTTTACAGAGGAGTAAGGAACCAGGTTGGGATTGAGGGTGATGTAGCTGGGAAAAGTTGGTGATATCCTGGGATAAGAGAGGATTTGTCTTGCTCTGGACTGGAAAGATGCATGAAAGATTCACTGGCTAATAAAGTCCCCACCCTTGTCACCTCCAACTAACCATGTACAAAACAAAACAATTATTAAAGTCTGTGCTTCCACATCACTAGGGAAACTACCTTTTTTTCCTGTTGTAGATGCTGGCAGTGCCTGAAGTGGTGTCACCTCCTTCACAGGAACTGGGAAGCCAATTTCAAGAGGTCCATCCCTGGAGATCTGCTCAGAGTCCCGCTGGCAGCGAGCCTGGATTGCAGAAAGCACCAAATGACTTTTGAGCCAAAATGTTTTAGAGCTTATGGACACTGATGGTTTTTTTAATTGAGTCTGCCACAAAAGCCACTATATAAAAGAGGTCTTTGCTTAGGAGAAGAGCTTAGGGGTTTGGTAACCCAGAGGAACCCACAGCCTTCTGCAAGATGCAACAGGTGTCTGTGCTGCCAATATAGAGATCCCCTGTTTTGCACAGGGGGCTGAGTCCCTGCCTGTACACAAAAAGGGCATTTTAATTAACAACATCCCTCCCAGCAGTCATCTTGGAAGAGAAATGTGGAAAAGTCCCAGGGGCTGGAATATGCTACAGCCTCACCCTTGTACAGTTTCCGGATGTCACTCTGAAGAAATTCTTGTACCGGGATGTTGCGGAAGGTAAGAGCTTGTCTGGATTCAAGGGTCGTGAGACACTCTTGTATCACAACGACCCCAGGCAACACTACTGGTCTGGGCAAGAGTGGCTGGAAAGCTGCCCAGAGGAAAAGGACCTGGGGGTGTTGGTTGACAGCAGCTGAATATGAGCCAGCGTGTGCCCGGGTGGTCAAGGCAGGCAACAGCACCTTGGCTTGTATCCCAGCCAGTGTGGCCAGCAGGAGTAGGGAAGTGCTTGCCTCCCTGTACTCGACACTGGTGAGGCCACATCTCAAATCCTGTGTTCATTTCTGTGCCCCTCACTACATAAAGGACATTTAGGAGCTTGAGAGAGTTCAGAGAAGGGCAATGGAGCAAGGCAGTGACAATAAAAGGTCCAAACCAAGTTCCTCTCACTCTCCCTGGACTCTGTTACACAACCTCTGTTATGAACAGAAAGTAACCACAACTGTACTGAATCAGAGTGACAGTCCATCCAGGTCCTGTCTTGTCTGCAAGGGAGGTCAAGTAGACACGAGGTAGAGAGAGAATAATGCAGGCATACAAAGTCATCTGGTCAGAGTATTATCCTTATCTCCAGAACCATGTGACTCAGAGATTTCCTGATTCAAAGGAAATTATTTTCTATTAGCAGAATTAATTATTCTATTAATCTTGAATCTCTTCCATGAACACTGCAGATTGTCACTTGAACCCATGAAAACTTTTGGCTCCAGAAATTTCTGATTAATTTAACTACCAATTCCATGGAACTACCTATTCCATTTCCTACTCTTTGCTCTGAACTCGTGACCCACTCATTGCCCTTCTTTCTTACACTGAAACAAACATTGAATAATCGACCCCCCTTTCTTAAGGTCACTTATAGCTTAAAAGTATTTACCTGCTGGGTGCTCTCTATCATTGCCAGAGCTTCAGCCATTAGTTTCTGGTTAACTCCACAAAGGTTTGCTACTTTCATCTGGCACTTGTGGTGGACATTCATGCCACATGCTGAAAGAAAGAACAAGAGGTGTGAGGACAACAGAGGGTAGCTAGGCTGTAAAGGCTTTGCCATTATGTTGGTCAGGAACATGTTCTGTTGTTGGTCAAGGGTGGAGATCAGCCACATGAACAGCTGAAAGCCTGGGCAACATTTTTGTCTCATAAGATGGCACTCAGGTCAGTTTTTTGTCCTCTATGGAGACATCTTTTTTTAATATCTTATTCTGGGCAAAAGCCTGTATTTCCACATCCATCAGCCTTTGCAGGTAGAAGTTACCAAATCTCCACAGTCTATCAGCTCATAGATAAACCATAATCACAGAACAGGGCCTCCCCATTTGTGTTAAGATTATGAAGATGGCGAAATGCCTTGGGTCTGTCTGATGATGGATCCAAGTCGATCCTAGGAGTGATTTTGGAAGATCAAAAGTGGGCACTGAGATGTTCTTTGCCTCTCTAGGAAGTGACTCTTCAGTCTCATGGACTTCTTATATGCTGGCAGTGGTCCTTGTCCTCAGAAGAATGATCTCCTTGAATAACAGTCTCCTTGACCACTCCTTCACCCCTCTGGCTGCCATCTCATACAGGTCTCAGTGAGACATGCAATAAATGAGGTTCATCTCTTTATATTGCAATTTTCTAAATTCAACACCCCTCCCTTGTGCTCAGCTCATGGCCCACCCACCAGGAACTCACCATCACACTTCAATCCTTGCCGTGCAAGGCCCCAGAGGAGTGTGCCACAGTGCTCACAGAAAGTTGGGCTCTTGTAGTTGTAGACTTTGAAGCGGTGAGGCATGTCAATCTTGAACCTCTCTTTATGGAACTGCAAGAGAAAAGCCACGTTGGCAATTCACTCCTCTCCACCTCAGCTCTGCATGGAAAAGCAACAGCCCCTAGGCTTGTACCACAGAAGGTGGGATGTCACCTGTCCTTTTATCCTTGGATATGATCATCAAGAAGAAACCATGGATAACAATCATTTAAATATATAAAGCCAACTGCACATAATAACTGTGCAATTCAGTGGGAACTGGGTATTTTAGTCCCTGGGCTTGATTTATCTGACCAGATAGCTGCTTGCATCTCAGCTACACATCCCTTACTCTTCAGTGGGAGAACAGGAATACTTCTAAAAATTATTCATCTGATCCTGAAAGAGATGTAAACATTTGTTGTCATGAATCTCTCTTTGGAAAAACCTCTTTTTCTTATTTTAGTATATAGGGAGTCAGAGGTGGTGACAACATTGGAAACATCTACCCTGCAGATGGCAGAAGACAGGTGAGATGAATCTCATCTCTAGAGACTGTAAAAGGAGGAGCCAGGGTGGGACTGGAAGCAAACAGAAGCTGTGGGACACAATTAAGAAAAAGGGAATGGTCCTATCAAGAGTTAAAGGGTTTTTTCCACCTAATAAGAAGCTTTATTATAAACTGATATGAGAAAAAGAAATTAAATAATAGTGGAAGGCTAGATCTTCCACTGACTAGAAATCTCAGCGAACACATAGTGGGATGTTAAAGTTGTGCTCTGAAAGTTCAGGGTGATGTCCTGCCTAACACTGGGTAGTGAAGAATTTCCTCCAGTAGATCTCAACCTCATGTCCATGACTTCTCTCTGAGCTATACTTCATACATTAGAAAAATGTCCCTTCATGTTCAGCAACTTTTCATTCAGTGGCTGCATTTGAGTAAATGAGAAGTAGGAGGCAATGAAACCACTGGGAACATTAAAAAAACAAAGGGCACAGATCAGTTCACAAAACTTTTGGTACAGCAGCACCTTTTGCCTCATCAGAAGCTGTTTTATGGTGACATAGAAGAGGAAGGGGAAGAACAACCCCACGTATCAGTACAGGTTGGGGGCTGAGCTGCTGGAGAGCTGTGTAGGAGAAAGGGACCTGGGGGTCCTGCTGGACAGGAGGATGACCATGAGCCAGCAATGTGCCCTTGTGGCCAAGAAGGCCAATGGCATCCTGGGGTGTATTAGAAAGGGTGTAGTTAGTAGGTCAAGAGAGGTTCTTCTCCCCCTCTATTCTGCCTTGGTGAGGCCACATCTGGAATATTGTGTCCAGTTCTGGGCCCCTCAGTTCCAGAAGGACAGGGAACTGCTTGAAAGAGTCGAGGGCAGAGCCACAGAGATGATGAAGGGAGTGGAACATCTCCCTTACGAGGAAAAGCTGAGGGAGCTGGGTCTGTTGGGCTTGGAGAAGAGGAGACTGAGGGGTGACCTCATCAATGTTTACAAATATGTTGAGGGCAGTGTCAGGAGGACAGAGCCAGGCTTTGTTCAGTGATGTCCAGTGACAGGACAAGGGGCGATGGGTGCAAACTGGAGCACAGGAGGTTCCATGTAAACATCAGAAAAAACTTCTTTACCTTGAGAGTGACAGAGCCCTGGGACAGGCTGCCCAGAGAGGCTGTGGAGTGTCCTTCTCTGGAGACATTCAAACCTACCTGGACATGTTCATGTGTGATGTGCTCTGGGTGACCCTGCTCTGGCAGGGGGGTTGGACTGGATGATCTTTCCAGATCCCTTCTAACCCCTAACATTCTGTGATTCTGTAGGAGAGACCTGAATGATGCCCCAGTTTTTTAAAAGCAGCCAAATAATACTACTAGTACACACCATTGTTTCTCTGCTGTTGATTGCTGATCCCGTGCACTTGGCTATTACTTTATCAATGCACTTCTTATGAATGGCAGCATTGCATTCTGAAAGAACAAGAGGGTCACAGGGTAAGTTAAAAAAAAAATGTCTTAAGAGAAGATAAAGAGAAAAATATAATTTAAAAAGTTCCTTACGTCTGCACTGATAGCCTTGTTTATTCAGACCCCTGAAATAAACCAAGAAATGGTTAATTCTGAGTTTTCTGAAGGCCTCCACAGAAGAAAGGAAAGCAATGTTTATGAAAGAAACAGAATAAAACAGCTTTGCTTTTTGTCAGACTTTATAGAGCTTCTCTAAATATCTTCATTCAGTCTAACTGTGAAGTTTTTCTTTGTGGCTTTCACAGACTTTTCAGCATTCATTCACATTCTGAATTTCACAATATCCAAATAGCAAACTGGGCCGATGAGAAATGTCTGAACATTTAGCCAAAGACAAAAGAACTTATAAAAAATGAAGGGAATTTTCACAGTTGGAATTATGACTGTCAACCACATCCTTGAAGCGATGCAATAACGCTACATGCAAGATGCCAAGGGTCCAGTCCTGCTGCCTTTACTGACAGCAGGAGCACAGATATTTACTGAAGAAGCAGAGCTGGGTCCTAGAGTTAAAAGGGGAAAATGCACAGATCTGCTTTCATTTACCATACAAACTCGTGACAGACAGAGCAGAAGGTGGGTTGTGGGAAGAAGGTGGCTGTGAACTCGTGGCACTTGACATTATGGATTTTGGCCTGTTTGATGGCTCCTCTGCGCTGGTGCAAGGAGAAAAAACCTTCGGTCTCACAGTCTGCCAGGTCCTTTGCATCTGGGGGAAAAGGAAACAGGAGATTTATTAGGGTATCCTCCACTGATCAGGCATGTTGAGAAAATGTAGCTGCCAAAATAGCAAGCGACTGAAGATGATGATTCACTTATGGGAATTAATATTTTTAAGAAATACCATTTTCTGAAACCCACACAAGGCTCGTTTGGCTGGGGTTTTATCTACCATTCCTACAGGGACATGAAAATGACTTTAAACTTGTGATTCTGAATTCCCTTGAATAGTTATAATGCTGCTCTTGAAACCTAGACCAGAAATTTCCCATGGAGAGATAACGTGCAGTTTTACATAAAATTAGAACTTTGCATAGTTCTGAAGAACCATGCCCTAAAAAAGATGAAATTACGATTAAAAATATCTATATCTGCATACAAACATGCACAAATATATGCGTACACATGCATGTGAGTATTTAACTGAATCTTTTATGAGTGCACGTACATGTGGTTGAGTGAGCACATAGATATGCTCCCAAGATACTATTTTTCTTGTTATTTTGCCATCCCAACAATTGCTTTGCTGTTTGCTGTGTCCATGCCATTATGCACAGTTCACATTTAAACTTTTTAAAAGAGCAAACAAACCAATTCTGACTACACGTGCCCTTATACATGTGCTTGTGTCTACAAATGTAGACATGCACACAATATCCCACTCTCAATCTCTGTTTTCTTTTACTCGCCATCAGTTACATGGGTATTCCATGGAAACTGGTCCCCTGTGTGATCTCATGCTGATCTTCCTGTTTTAAACACAAACAAAGCTTGCATTTCTATGCTTTGACCTCTCTGATATCTTATAACATGCAAGGAGACAACAGCATTCTATTCTATATTAAAGTTAGGAATGGATGAAGAAAATACCAGCAGGTATTAGCTGCTTTCAGTACTTCTGTGCTTCCATACATGGAAGGTCCTTCTAGGTATCTACACCTTACAGTTTCACCCAACATCTGAGGGTGCAAGAATTTTGGCATCAGACTTCAGCGAAGACTCAGCATTTGGACTGCAACCCATTTTCTTCAACAAAGGAAAATGCATTTCACATGGACCTCAAACACTGCAGGTGGGATTCAGTTCCCAGTGGAGACACATAAATGACAATATGTCCCTGGCCCAGGGTGATTAAGCTGCTGCCACGTGTCTGGAGGTCTTTCCTAGCTGGAGCAGGCAATGGAACAACTGAACTCACCTTGCAGGATAAACCTGCATTTGATCAGATGGATCACTCTCTAGGATCTTTTCCTGTTTTGTCAAGATTGCTCTTGATCTCAAAATCCCAACTAACAAGTAAACTCAGGTGTTGTCAATCCCAATTTGTAAGCCCAGTTTTACAGCTGCACCGTAACACACACCATGGCACATGGTCAACACATACACACAAGTAGAATGGAGGGAGCTGGCTCCTTGTGTATCTATTCTCTCTTGCTTAGTACAATGAGAAAAGCCACCATTTTAGTGGTAAAATGGCCAAAAATCTGCCTTGCAAATCACAGATGAACAGTTAATCTTCATCCTCACCATGCAGTAAAAATTGCTTTTCTGGAGTGCTCATTTCAAACTGTTGTGATAGTTCCCACAAATAAATCAGCAATAACATAGACTTTGCTTCCAGTGAAGACACCACGTCTGTCCCACATAATCAGAAATTACATCTATCAATTAACAAACAAAATCACTTGCCACTTATTTCCAGGAAGTATCTTGCATTCATCAGCATTCGCCCTTGAGGCTTCAATTCTAGCTGGGTGACATAAGTGAAAAATAAGGAAAAAAACAAGAAGAGTGCAGTCATTAAACAGTCATTCAAAGAAGAAACAATCATTTCAGATTACTCAAGCTATCTCCTTTTCCCAGTGGGAATTGATGGATGTCAATGAAGGCTAATTTTTTGATTGCTCATACCAGTGTGGGGCAACTAGGCAGGGTAGGGGCAACTATTCAGAGAGGAGGCTGGATCACCTCTCATCAAATACTTGAGGAGATAAGTGTAACTAAACCACAGTAACTGTAGGCAGGTTTTTAGACACCAGCTCAGGACCAGCACTATCTATAGAGAAAACATGTTGTTCCCAGTGCAAGGTGGAAGGACAAGAAGGACAAGGAACTGCTGGAGAGGGTACAGCAAAGGCTTATGAAGACACTTAGGGGACTAGAACATCTCTCTTATGAGGAAAGGCTGAAGGACTTGGACATTTTTAGTCTGGAGAAGAGAAGACTGAGGGGGGACCTTCTCAATGCTCTTGAATACTTAAAGGCTGCTTGTCAGGAGGATGGGGCCAGTTTTATTTCAATGATGCCCAGTGGCAGGACAAGAGGTGACCAGCACAAACATGAACATAGGAAGTTCCATATAAACATGAGGAAGAACTTGTTTACTTTGAGGGTGGCAAAGCACTGGAACAGGCTGCCCAGAGAGGCTGCGGAGTCTCTGTCTCTGGAGATGTTTGACACCTGCCTGGATGCCATCCTGTGCAACCTGCTCTAGGTGAACCTGCTCTGGCAGGGGGGCTGGTCTGGATGATCTCCAGAGGTCCCTTCCAACCCCTACTATTCTGTGATTCTGCAGAACACCTCAAAAAAACCCAGCCAACTGCAGATGGATACTTAAAAGATGCTGAAATCTTTTAGAGACTTGTTCTGCAAGCCTGACTTCCATTACACCCCATGTCAGTGATGCTACAAGCTTTCTTGGGAATTTTTTGGGCCTTTAAACTGGACGTGGAAATTCCCACCTGTCCAAACCTCTGCCCATAAGTGCCTTCATAAATCTGGGTCCACTGGCCTAGGAATAAAAAGACCTACATTCAAGGATTTCTTCAGCCTGAGAATCACAACAGTGCCTTTCCCACCCACCTCCAGAACAGCCTGAGCAAGGTTCCCTCTCTACCTTTCAGGTGAATCAGTCACTTTGCCCGATCTCTCTCCTCACAACCCTTGCAATATGAGATATCATGGATCTCCCTCCTTAGGTTGCAACTTGTACCAGGGAGTGAGTAGAGAGATGTCAGGAGCTGCTACCAGGCTAGGACAGAACAGGACCAGGGACTCCCCAGCTCAGCTTGACCTCAGATCTGTTACATTTGCTGCAAGCAGGAGAACACCCCAAACTGTATGTCCCCTCTCCTCACCAGGCTACTGCCTCCCATGGCTGTGAAGCCTGGAGATGGAGTCATTTTGGTTTTCAATTCCATCCATAAGTATCTCAATTCCTTCCAAGTGATGTGTTAAATGCACAAATCTACCAAATCTCGTTCTTAGGTCTCTTACGTCACCAAGGCCTTTTTGACTTTTCTACTCTCTGTTTCACTTTAGCATCTTAGCCTGAAGACTGGCATGAGAAACAAATCATATACAAAATATCCTGATTCCAGGAAATCAGTTTCTCTCCAAATGTCTTTCCACTTTATTGTTATTCATGGCACATGAATACTACATGTAAAAGACTATTATCAAGAACTTTCTTGTTTGGACTACCAGGGAACACAATGTTCTATTTAGAATCCTTACAAAGATTTATACTTCACATTTACTCCACTGTAACTCCTGTGGTTTTAAAGGAGTTCCTCTGACATAAGACTGAAGTCAGGCAGCTGTGAATCAGTTACACAGTATTAGATTACATTTTTGAAGCTGTTTCCCCAGAGCACAGAAAATAATTCACACTTAGCCAGTATTTGTGTACTTCTTGGGTTTCCCAAGCTGAGCTCAATATGTGGGCACAGCTCACCTGACCCAGAATCGTGGCTAACACAGGACATGTGTTTCAACTTAACAGCAGAAAGTAAGATGAAGGTGCCATGCCCTTCTCTTTTTTTTTTTCCTGATATGCATGTAAGTCTTTCCTTCATGTCATACCCAAGTAGCCTCAAATCATTATTCCTTGGATGGCAGCCAGTTCCTGCTGTCCTGCTGGTTACATTCACCTCCTGGCACGGACACAAGGCATTCCCCTGCCCCACAGCAGCTCCCCATCACATTCTGCAAGAGGAGATAACCATGCTCACCCATATCTCTGTCTTCCCATTGCTCTTTTTGCACCTCTCTGCCAGCACCTTGAGTTCCACCGTGGTCTCTGAAACCATTTCAGCACTTTTGTCCTTGACCACAATGTGCATGACCCTGCCGTTGTTGATGTGGGCATCGAAGGTGCTGTTCCAGGGTGGGTACATGGTGGGCTTCTTCTGCACGTACACTTGGCCATTTTCTGTCAACAAGAATTGGTTTGTATTGACTTGACTTGCTTCTCATCTGTACTAAAGCCACCACTCTACAGTTCCTGAGACAGATTGGTGATATTTACCCACTTTGAGGCCTCTCTCTGGGCTGGGTGTGTAATGGATCATGTTCTGGTGTCTTACGAGGTAACTGTGTGAAGTGACACCTAGGAAAGGATTCACCTCACCTAACTTCAGGTGTCCAATGTGTGTGCTCATATCTGAGATGTGAACATTGGGTCCATTCAGAACCAGTTAAGAGAATATAATTAATAAAAATAAATGGAGTTAGAGAGTGTTCCTTTGACCAAATGCAGACATCTAGCTTAGGAAAGAGAGCTTCTGCCCTTGGCTCTATTAACTCAACCGAGTAGTCCTCAAATGTAGAGTCCAACATCATTAATACCCACTTCTAATCAGGTGAGTCTCATCACAGATAACCAGCCACATGTGCCAGTTGTCCCACAGCAATACAAAATGAAACATCTTTGCTTCAGCCCCCGCAAAAAACAACCCTGAATGCACTTTATGATTAAGTTTCAGCTGGAGCTCATGTCCAGTCAGTTACTTCATCTCACCTAACTCAGGGATCTTAATATAACAACACTCTTGCAGACCTGAAACCATATCCACAGCAGTGCAGTTTTCAACCAAAATTTTCCTGCACCTCTTTCTCATGCATTAATTCCCCTTCCTTCACATCTTAAGATGGTGCAGGGTACCTCTAAGACAGAGAATTAGGCTGCAGAGAGTTTTCTCTAGATAATTGCTTCTGAAAAGTTCTCAGCCAGCTTTATTATTTCATACAGCCCATTGCATTTCATATAGGCCTGTAACAGGCTCAGAAACTTACTCAACTTAATTCTGTTTCACAGTTACCCTCTGCAAAGTTTCAACCCATCAAATGCCAAAGTTGATGGAATGAAAAAGAGAATAAAAAGCAGTTGCTTTCAAGCAGCAGACCTCAACTCCTGCCTCCTACAGACCCTGCTCCTAATAATTCCAGCCTTTCCCTCATCCCATCCAGCTGGAAAAGAACATGCAGCTGAAAACCTGGAACATGGCATGGTCTGGAGAAAATCTTTCCCTGGATGGGAAGACTTAATTGCTCTGCTCAGCTTTCACTGACACACCTTCAAGGTGCATTAAAACTGGTAAATAAGCTCCAGAGTGATTGGAGCTAGGAGAGAAGGAGTAAAAAGGAAACACTGACTCCTGATTGTTAGAGAGGAGAGAACAAATATCAGGGCTGTGAGATTATAACAAAAATCTCCCTTCAACACCCCATGCACTGGTTTCCTACAAAAGGAGAAACAACTGCCAGAGCCAGCACAGATCTAGGTTGAGGAGGCATGCAGGATCCTGCAGCCAATACTGACTTGCTGAAATTTCACTCCATAACCCAACATCTGGCTTGAACAAAGAGTTTTTGCACGTGGTTTGATCACACAAGCTTGACTGGAGCTGCAGTCCTCTCTGACCCTCTGCAGTGGTCTGCATGGCCAAACTGAGCAGAGATCGTTCCTGCAGCTTAAAGTCACTTCTCATGCTTGTCCTGCCTGGTATGACAAGCAGTTGTGTAGCTGAATCTTAGGTTTAAATTCAGTTTCCCCAAAGCTTAGAGCACTTCGATCTCAGGTGGATCTATTTCTGTTTGTTAAATGAGGCTGACTCTTCACATATGCAGATCTAGGCAATCTTAAACTGAGCTCATTGTCTGCAGCCTTAATTCACTCCCCTCAAGCTTGCAAATATATATTCAGTGCACTCTTCCAACAAAAGCAGACAAAAATGGGCCATAAAAATGAGCCATAAACATCCCATCATTGCTGAGAGCAGAAATCTCAATAAGAACCATCAGAAACTCCACAGATGTGAAAGACAGCACTTGCAAAACAAGTGCTTTCCTTTGCATTGCACTCCCAAACACAAGGCTTAAATAAACCAGCCCTGGAATGTGAACGAACTGGCCAATATAGATGGGATCAGACAGTCACCTCCAGCACATCCCTGCTGATGTTTGTGGAATTCTGCCAGGGATTAATCTAACCCTGGGTTCCTGAAAAATAAAATAGCATCTGTCGTTCCCAAGCAGCAGCTTCCACTGTAGCTGGGAGCACTTTTCCTGGAGGTTTGCTGAGTTCAAACATGGAGTAGGATCTTTCACACAGCAAATGTCACCAAGACAGGTGGTGAAATGGCACCAGGCCCAGTGGCTTGTGATGGCAGAAGTTATCTTTAAAGGGCAGATTTTTTTACACCTTAGAGGTGCCTATGATCTCTCAAATGGTTTGTCTTCAGTAACAAATTGCTAGAACTTTTCTAGCTGCAGGGAGGCAATTTTGTTGTTCGCTTGGTTTGTGGGTTTTTTTTTTAAAAAAGACTACACAGTAAAATACCAGGATCCCTTTTACAAAATGGACAAGTTGAAAAAAAAAAAAAAAGGCTGCCCAATATCTTTCCTGAGATTCTGAAATTTCTTAGGGTGCCCTCCTTGTGCCACCTTGGTGCCCACAGACAATCTGCATTACACCTAAGCTGTTGGGATCCTCTGTCCCAATGACTTACTCATCATGTGGACAAGGGACAGCCTTTGGCTTGAACCCAAAGGAAGACTCAAGCTCCCTTTTAGTGGGGAACCAATCATTTACTAATGCTCTGTTTACAAAAAGCAATCTTCCTCCCCTGCTCCCCCCAAAAAAAGAAATTCCCACCTCCTCAAGCTTTGCTAAAGCTACACAAGGCATATAGCTGATTCATAATAGGACATGGCAAAAGTCAGAGCAGTTTCATCTATCAAACTGGTTCCAGCATAGACATGGCCGGGGTTTGGGGCTGGATTCAGCTCTGGGTTTAGGCACTTCCTGCCATGCATATGTATTATATAGCAATTCATTTGCCCTGAAGAAATCTGGATGGCCATGTATCAGAGCACAAGGGTAGTAGTCAGGGTTGCTTATGCCTCTCCCCAGCTTTGCAGCTGATCCATTCCTGGTTCTTGGACACATTTGCCCTGAAGAAATCTGGATGGCCATGTGTCAGAGCACAAGGCTGGTAGTCAGGGTTGCTTATGTCTCTCCCCAGCTTTGCAGCTGATTCATTCCTTGGACATGCCACCTCAGCCAGAATTTGCATATCAGGACATCAATATAATTTTGGTTTTTGGAATCCCATTACCAATGGGTAGCAAGGAGAGTTGGAGAGCAAAGTATGATATAAGAAAATTCAAAAAAGCAGGGATGCAGCTATTCTACATGTGCTCAGCTAATGTTTGCCCTGAGGCCCTCATTGCCTTTTGCCTTCTCTAAGCCTGTTTGAGCATGACAGATCCTGGATGGTCATGTTGAGAGTATTTTTGGCATTTAGAGTCAAGCTCATCTCACGGAACATCAGATATTTACCTCTGAGTGGGCTGTCTAAACTGCCCTCAGAGTCAGTGGAGAGCACTGGGCTTTCCAGGATGTGATTCATCAAACCCACTCTGGATCTATTCCTCAAGATGAGATGAATACCACCCCAAAAAATCCTGTTTGTTCTCCTGGGCTACAATGCAAAGTATGCGACTCAGATATCAATATCCTTGCAGAAAACTGGAATTATAAGGGACATGGAACCCATCATGGCTTTGTCATCCACACATTTAGATGCCATCCATCAGCAGCAAATTAACATCTCCCAAGGGTGGTTCAAACCACCCTAAGAGTGGAGTCTGAGGTGAATTTATATTGAGAGTTTCCTGCTACTAACACTGACATGACAAGGAGTCCCTCTGGCTACCCCACTATGTCCCAAGCAGCAGCTACATGAGTGCAATTACACCCCAGCAAACAGAAATCCTCTAACAGAAAGACACCCTATTCCCTACATATTCAATCTTCACTAATGAAGAAAATTTTCCCCAAACACATTTTTTTTAATTGTTGGTAGAGTTATTACCATTATTATTATTATCATCATCATCAGCTCCAGGAGCACAAAAATTACACCCCTTAGTAAATGTTCATTTGTTAGATGACAGAAAACACTTCCATCTCTGTAAGACAAATTAATACAGGTCTGTGCTGAACAAATTGATTTTATTCACTTTTGAACTGACAAGACACTTCCATTTGAGTTGTGGCTTTCAAAGGTCCCTCATTAAAGCAAACAGGCAAGCCTTGCATTGAGCTGAAATAGGAGATCTTTTCAGTAAAAAGGGAGCTCTTAGGGATATCTTGTCATGCAGTATTTTCTTTCCTTTTGAATGTACCAGTCACCACATCTTCCAGAGTAATTTGAAGTATTATTGAAGCCAAGACAAAGTTCAATGTGATAAATGATGACTCCTCAAATCAAACAAAAAAAAACCCCTAAACACCAGAAAACAGGCAAACAAAAAGTGAAATGATTGCTTTAAAATTCTAAAATTTCCTTTTTTAAAAACTGTTTTAACATCCTCTAGAGGTCAGAGCTATGGGATTTCTCTAGGTATAAAAAGGGATTTTTGAGTTGATCTAATTTTTAAAAGAATCACAACAGTCAAGCCAGGATTTCATCAAAGTTTTAAGATAAATCCAATCCAAGATAAGTCAATATGCTAACACTAAAGGTCTTGATCTTCCTGATTCTTGAAAAGCAGAACTGAAGAACTTTTCATCCTCTCACTAGGACTATTTTAATGCAGAAGACACATATGAAATGTTTTCCCAATGAGGACCCATCAGTGTTTTCAATCAGGAAAATGTGCAACGTTCCCTGTATCTCAACACAGAAACCAGCTTAGCAGGTGGTTTCACTTTCAAACATTTTGCAGAGTACAGCAATTACACAGAGAAATTAACTCTCTCTGCAAAGACTGAGGCTGTTTGAGATATGTTTTTTTTTTTTTAATAGTGGGAGTTGGTAGACCTGCCAGCTCCTCCAAAAAAAACATGACAAACAACAACAGGCCTCCGAGGATATTTCTGGAACAACCAGACTTCATCTGTCCGGAGTCCCAGTGACAAACAAACAACTGCTCATCTAAAAGTGAAACTGAATACAGCTGATCTGCTCTGTCACATGCTGGGACCTGAAATTCAGTTGCTAATAAACTCAAATGGAAGACATAGACTTGTTAGGCATCATCTTAAAATCAGTCTGTCTTGCAGGCCATGCCAAACCCAAACTTGCAAAGTGCTGAGACACAAAAGGCCCTTCACAAACCCTTATAAAGAGTTATCAGTGTGCTTCCTCCACACCAGGAATGACACACTCAGGCACACACACATCTCCTAAAAGTTCATATGCATATTTAACACCTCCCCACTTACCTGACTCCACGGCTTCTTTAACCATCACAGCACAGTAAGGGTTAATCACCTCCCCCTGGGATGGCAGGTAAGGGCCACTGTCATAGTTGGATAAACCAATACGCAGAAAGGGAGACATGACAAGTCCTGTGTCAAACAAAAGACAAGGCAATACTTGGGAAGTGTCTAAAAATTCCCTTGGTTTTAACCAGGCTGTTATCTCCGCCGGGCAGCGACACGCCAGCCGTTAGTTATCCATCCAACTGGAGACTCTCCCACTTCCTTCACTGCCTAGCAAGACGACAGACTGCCCGAGCACTGCTTAGTGTGTGTAAGGCAGGGAAACTCAGCTGTCAGCTTAACCATGTGGCTGAACTCATGGAAGGGCTGGAAAGACCCACGAGAGCTGTTCTGAGTACGGGTGACTTGACACCAGCCGTCAGGAACGAGAACGACAATACACATTCACCAAATCAGGACTTTCTTGGCTGGGATCACCTCTGCTGTTATTTATACTGAGTCATGCGTTCAAGATCCTGAATGCTATGAGAATAGAAAGAGTTTCAGGAAGATGAGGCTGTTGGAAGCTTGCAAGCTGAACATGAAACTGTGAAATAACTGGGTGCTATTTATGTAGGGCATGGAGATGATCTCGGGCATTCGACTGCCTGGGTGCTGCCCCATATTCCTAAGTGAAGTTATAAAGAGAAAATTCAGCTCATATGAACCTTGCTGTGTAGAGAGTGGAGTGAAAAAAGAAAAAGGATCTCCTATTGAAATGATAATCTTAAGCAGCTGAGAACAGAAACACTAAAATCAAGATGCCAGGAAACACAACAAAGCCTTTAAGTTGGTCTTCTCTGTAGGGTCTTTCAAGGCTTCCAGAGAGAAGATTTAGTGAAACCAGAAATTATCAACTGCTGTGCTGGAGCCCATCATTGTGTCATCTGGGCCCAAGGCCTGGGATTTACCAACCAACTTTTGTGTCAACTTCTGAGCTTGTTATTCCTGGCTCCAAATGTAGCCAGTGGGGAGCAAGAGGGACTTTGAACTCAGCTGCAGATGTCTATGTCTTGGATCACCAAAGTTAAATGACATGAGTCTTATCACCAGCTGTAACCTATCAAATATATTGACAACAATATATTGCTCAACCACACCAGCAAAATGTTGACTGCCTTGTGGTATGGGATGCAGCTCAAAGCTCTCCTTTTTACACAGGCTTTGTTCCAGGGGCAGCTTCTCTAGTCTCATGCAGAAGATCCTGATTCTTTGGTGGGAATGGCATTTTCTTACCTGTAAATGTTATTTTCCTGACAGACGAGTTCAGTCTCTGGCAAGAGGGGCTTCTCTTTTCATCACAGTTGTGGACAACATGGAAAGGATTTTCACAGCTGAAAGAATGGGGGTAACTGCTCCTGTGCCTGGGCTGACTTTAAAACTCAGACTCCCTGTTGGAGGAGACAGGAGGCAAGACCATCAAGGAGAGAGGAAAGCTTGAGAAAACAAGATGTAGCTCTTTGCTTGAGTGTCTTCTCTCTTACCCAACAGTGTGGAGTGGTGAGTTTCCATCAGTGTCCTGTGCAAAAGTCCAGGGCTACTGTGAAACTCAGACAACTTTCTGTTAGTGTGTGCTCAGGTTGCAGCAGGTGCTTGTTTTGCTTGTGGCTGCATATGGTGAGATCTTCTCCTTCTTCCTGTGTTAGAGAAAGAAGACAAACAGCTACAGCTAGCACTGGAACTGAAACACCAACTATTCTGGCCCAAATACTCACAAGTACTGAGCACTCACCCTGCAACACTTTGACATTTCAGTTGGCCTATGCAGCCAACTGCAGTTATTCTCTCATAGGGACTTTTTGAGGGGAGGCTTCCCAGGAGAGTTCCCTAAATTTATTATCTTACATAGGGCCAATCTATACAATGGACAGCACAAGAAGTCTCTCCTTCTTGTTCAAGCTCCTGGGTAGGTTAGCAAACAAGCAGGCTGAGTTTTCAGGAAAACAGCAAAGACTCATAAACCCTCTTGGACACTGTGCTGAAAAGAGAAGAAAGCCAACAGGTTTCTGGAGAAGACAGGATAAGACAGAAAGGGAAAAAAAAAATCCTTTGATTCATCTGTACTGTGTATCTTAGGAATTCACAGATCATGGGCCACCAGCAGCTATCAGACCTCTTTTGAAGACTGTCCAAGGACATTAGAGTGGTAATGCTAGGACAAGGGGAATAGTTTCAAACTGAAAGAGAGGAGATTTAAATTAGATATTTGGAAGAAATTTTTTCCTGTGAGGGTGGCAAGACACTGGCCCAGGTTGCCTGGAGAAGTTGTGGATAGATGCCTCATCCCTGGAAGTGTTCAAGGCCAGGTTGGATGGGGCTTGGAGCACTCTGGTCTACTGGGAGCTGTCCCTGCTCATGGCAGGAGGGTGGGAATCTTGAAGGTCCCTCCCAACCCAAACCATTCCAAGATTCTACTATTCTATGACCTCTGCATGTGGCATTGCCCCCAGCTGGGAAAACATCAGTGCTTTTCATTTTTACAGAAGCTTGTGGGAAAGCCAAAGCACCACCTGGGGCTGGATGCAGGAGATTAGGATGATCAAGTTCTACTCTGGATGAAGGCAGCATCTCTTTGAAGGATGTTTCAGAAACACCTTAGCTAAGTGCCTGATGAGCTTGCTCTGGAAAGCCACTTGCATTTAGATATTGAAGCACAGATAACTCTGCAAGGAGGGGCATTTGTGGCACTGCACAATAATGAATGGTTTGTGAGTGGTCCATGGCACAAACAGGCTGAAATTTCTGCCTGGACTGACAGAAGCAGATAAATATGATCAAATTAAGTAGGAAAAAAAAAATCTCTTTAACAGGAAGAAATATATCAATACGTATTTCTCCCCTCTGATGCAATTATTTAGCCATTTCCTTTGTTTAAAAAAAATAAATAAGAAGCCTATTTAACCTAAAGACAACAGGAAAAACAAACCAAAGGGTCTCTGGCAGCAGAAGAAAAATCCAAGTAGTTGCATGTCCTGTCTGTGCAATGTAGTGTGGAAAGCTAAAGAGAGCCAAAGGTTAAGGCAAACAGTCAAAACATCTGCATTATGCCTCTTTGTGTGAGCACAGATGTGTTCTCTTCGCCTCTACTATACTCCCCTAACACTTCTGTTGACTGCTGGACAAAGGAATATTATGTATCCTCCTCCAAATTCCCAATTCCCACACTTCAAGAACCTGTTGTTCCACGGACAGGGGCAGGAAGAAGTGCAGTGAGGGCTGTAAGCACTTCTTGAGCAGGTCTTTAAAGCTCACGTTTAAAAACTCAGAGTGCCAACTAGAATTACTAGTAAACACACAGGGAATTTAAAAAACATGAGTGTTGCTAAAGGAAGTCAAAGGTTTGTTGATGACTTCAGTCCTAAAATGTAGTAACACTGTTGGCTCAAGTAGTAAAGAAACAAAATTAAGGCTAAAAGTTTGAGCATGGCTTTCATCACATTTCAATTAAAACAGTGTAGTTACAATGTAGTAAAAATTGTAAAAGCATCTTGTCCTGCTAAATATTGACATCAAAAAGTAACTAGTTGGATGTGCTGCAAGATACCTGTTCAGATCTGTGGATCTGCTCCTGAAATAGTGACACTTTTAGTCTTAAATGCTGGATGGTCCCTCCTTCCTGTCCAGTGCAATACTTCATTTTGGCTCTGTGCAATCAAGTACTTGATGAACAAGATTCCCAGAGAGGTTGTAAAGTCTCTGTCCTTGGAGGTATTCAAAAGCTGTTTGAACATGGCCCTGGTCAGTTAGCTCCAGGTGGCCTTGCTTGAGCAGGAGAGGTGGCAAGATGACCTCCAGAGGTCTCTTCCAAGCTCAACCAGCCTGTGATTCTGTGAAAACATGGGTCAGACAGATCTAGTCCTAGATCTAGCATCTACATCTCCAGGTGATGCAGTTACCTGAGCTCCTGAGAGAGGAACAGAGAGAAACTGGCACCCTCAGATCATGAGCTGGACCCATATTAGACCCCTCTGTTAGCACCTGATTAACTAGTTTCTCTCCTTCAAGAGCAAACAGGATGCCTGGGGATAACCTGTTCACACAGGCTTTGATCAGATTCCTCAAGTCATCACATTTAAAAAAAATCCCTTGCATTGTGTCACATTTAAAAGAGTTATGCTGGGATTTCACATGAAACAGTTTATTGCATGAGATGTTCTGCAGCCACCAGCAAACGGGAGAGAATTTTCTACCCATCTGCAAAGCATGTAGATTTGGCACACGTGGTGTTAGCACTAACAAAGCAACAGCTGCCCACATAAGCTTTGCAAAGGCTGGTTAAAAGCTAACTAAAATCAGAATTTACTGTTGTACCAGCCTCGTGTGAGCACCCTGCCCCAGGGTGGATTTCTTCACCCCATCCAATAAATCAGTCAGATAACTGGTTTCCTGCCTCTCTCTCACTGTCTTTCCTGAAACCACCTTGGCTTTGGCCCAAACATCTCTTTTCCAGGTCAGATCTCCAGCATTTGCCATCTCCAACATTTGCTACTTGGCTGGCATCCACAGCCATAAACAATTAAGGAGCAGCACAACTCAGCTCCAGCAATAGCTCACTGCAACAGCAGCCCTTTCATTTCATACTGGAAGCAGCTGCAATGGATATGGAGAACATCTGCTTCATTTCCCAGCAGAAAGGATACTACAAGGTATCTGAAAAGTAAGGATGAAATGCATCTTTCTCTAAAGGGCCACCTGTCCTCTAATAAAACACTTTAGTACAGGGTAACTGGGGTTCAGCAATACTGTACCCTGCTCTGCTGCCACAGGAGAGCTTTGCCCAAGCCACAGAATAATGCAACACATGGAAATAATTCCCAGATGATATTAGGAAGTAATAAACTCCTTAATATCCTTAATGAATTGTGGCTAAGGAGAGAGGAAGAAATGTGCTCCTGTTCTTAGTCAGTGGAAGAACTGTTGAGGACATCTGATTTTAGTGGGATTTATGCTTCTGTGTTTCATTGAATGAAAAGAGATGGGTGCATGATGCAATAAAGATGGCAATTTATTGAATGAGGGTCAGCTGAGAGGGGAGGGGAAGTATTTCTGGATTCGAGATGCTGCTTTCCTAATGTCATCAAACCCTCATCTTCTAGAGGCCAGAGGGAATATTTCCAGCTCTCCTCCCACCCCCCGTTTTTTCAGGCAAAACTGTGCATGCAAAATAAGTTCATAATCTGAGGATCAGCATCAACAAGAGGGAAAGGAACCAGGAGTTATAGCTGAAGGGTATGAACTTTCTTTCACCCCCTGAAAGGCAACTTCCAGCCAAAAAGGCAGGTCCTGACCTTGCAAAATCTGTTTATGTAGCTGGTGGAGACATGCACATCAGCATAGTTCAACACACCTCAGGGTCTTCCTGCAGAATTCAAGAGCAACACTGAACACTAACAGTGATGGCTGGAGTCCCTATCTCAGCCCTCAGACTCCTCACATTCCCCAGGAAATACAATAGGAAAGAGGCATCTAAATAACTTGAGTGACTTTCACTTTGGATGCCCATATTACCTCTTAATTCAATGGAGAACAAATCAGCCTGTTCATAAAGGAGGAAGTTCAGAAGCCCTCTGGGTGCCACCAAACATTTCTCACATTTTCCTTTTACAAAGAAGTGGATCAGAGCAGGAGGAGGAAAATGAGAGGGATTTACATAGCTGTTTAATTTTCCCTTTTGCCATAGTAAACCTGCAGCATCTTGCAAAGGCAGTAGAGGGAGAATGTGAGGAAAGACAGGACCAACAGTTTCTGATGGGATTGGTACAACAACAAGCTTCATGCAACTACAGACACTCCCAAAACTTCACAGAACAACTTGATTTCAAAACGTAGCTGATGGTCTAAACACAAACCCATCCCCAGCAGTTGCAGACACGGAAGACCCAGGCAAAACACTTCTTCTGCCAGGTGAAAATGGGGCTTCTGGACGTTTCTGGGGCCAATGGCAGGCACAGGTTTGGGAATTTCCCTTTACAAGTCTCAGAGACATCTCGTGATGCTGTGTTTAGAGCAAGTTGCACGTATCAGTAACAGGACCTGGGTTCCTATTTATAGCCTACAAACACAGCAGTTTGGACTCTGCTGAGTTCACGTGGTTTCTTCCTGGTGCACTTGTTGTGCACAAGGCAGGACCAGAGCCCCAGGGCTGTTTTCAGATCATACATGTGATTATACAGTGGAGTTAAGGCAGGTGAGCAGATTTACAGCTGTGAAAAGGTTGGTGTTCAGCCCACTGGGGGAATTGCAGAAAATTGCTGCTGGGAATACATTGGATACATTGCATACAACCATGGACTCTAGGATGGGATCTACAACCATTAGGGCTGTGAAGATGACAGGAGAGCTGGA